TGGAGAAGGCACGCAGTGAGGGAAGGGAGAACCAGGGCATTGGATCCCAGAGAACAGGCCGTGGGGAAGGTTCAGAGAAAGCAGGCAGCGACAGTTTGCAGCACCTTGGCACTGGTGCGAAGAAATCGGGCAGCGGAGATTCAGAGCGGGCGGTCCCGTTGAACCCCGAGGACGAGACATGGGAGGTGCTGGAGGAGGCGCCGCCGCCGGTGTTTCCCCTGCGGCCGGCCGGACTTCCCGGGCTCTGCGAGTGGCTGCGCCGCGCCCTCCCTCCGGCCCAGGCGGGGGCGCTGCTGCTGGCGCTGCCACCCTCTTCTGCCGGTGCGGCCCGAACCAAGGCTGCAGCGCTGCGGGCCGGGGCGTGGCGGCCGGCTCTACTGGCTAGCCTGGCAGCGGCGGCGGCTCCGGTACCGGGACTCGGCTGGGCGTGTGATGTGGCGCTTCTACGGGGCCAGCTGGCGGAGTGGCGGCGGGCCCTGGGTCTCGAACCGGCGGCTCTGGCACGACGCGAGCGTGCGCTGGGCCTAACTCCTGGGGAGCTGGCAGCGCGGGCGCACTTTCCGGGCCCAGTGACGCGCGCGGAGGTGGAGGCGAGACTGGGCGCGTGGGCGGGAGAGGGCACGGCCGGAGGCGCAGCGCTGGGCGCGCTCTCCTTCCTGTGGCCAGCGGGCGGCGCGGCGGCGACCGGTGGCCTGGGTTACCGTGCGGCACATGGCGTCCTACTGCAGGCGCTGGACGAGATGGAGGCGGACGCCCAGGCGGTGCTGGCACTCCACACACCCTCCCAGTAAGGAGTTGAGTGGGGACCTGGGCTTTCGGGGTGCCCAGCGTCCGAGTTACCGTCTCCTCGGAAATAGAGGATCCCGAGTCCCCATTAGTAGGGAGGGGCTTGGAGGACAAGACTGCGGGGTGGGATGCCTGAGCCTCTGAAATGATAGAGCAGCGACAGCCACCCAGAATTCTGTGTACTTACGAGGGATGAGGGTTCCCGTTTAACATTGGGTTGTGTGATTCGAGTCATCTGGATTTCTAAGTCCTGCCAGGGAAATAGAGAGACAGGACTCCTGAATCCTCTGAGGGAGCTAACACCCAGATTCCTGTGTCTAGAAAGGAGTTGGGCTGGCTCCTAGAAAGAGACTGGAACCATTGACATCTCCTCCTTGGTAGACGAAGTGAAGATCCTGCTTGGGGGGTGGTGTCCATGACTGGGGACATGGACTTCAGTGTGGCCCAAGGGGACCTGGGTACCCTAGTGAGCTACAACACTTGGAAGCCTGGAAGGGATACAGGTTCTGGGTTTCCTGGGGGAGAAGAGGCCTGCACACATCCTTCTAGGTCTTCAAGGGGTCAGAGAGCTTTGAAGCTTGCTGGGCAGTTGGAGAGGGATACGCTGGGGTCTCGGACTCCTGGCCCCTAAGAGGACTGTGGACCTTGGTTGCTGATTCCTGTGTGGGTGGAGGTGTCGATCCGGCAGGAAAGAGAGAAAAGAAGGTCTTCGGGGGAGAGCTGGAGACCCCTTGGTCCCTCTTGGGGAGTAGAAGGATAGTGTCTGATATTGGCTCCTCCTGTGTCTCTTGACTCCTTTCCCGGCTTTCAGGGAGAGGGGCAAGAGGTTTGCACCTGGCTCTGGGGGTAACCTGGGTGTAGAATGGCAGAAACCCATGACTTCAGAGCCGTCTCCCACAAACCTCTCATGGATTTGGGCCCTGGCGGCTGTCCCTCCCTCTTGTCAGTTTGACTGGGAGTAAGGTTGACTGCCCCCATTTCACAGGTGCTGACCCCAAGTGCTTCAGGGGGTCTTTGGGGAGTTTGTTCCTCTGTCTCTCTTTAGGAATTTCTGCCTGTCTTTGGTCTTGATTTCTTCTGTCATGAAACCCCAACCCTTTCTGGCCTTGGTATTTTGTGCATCTTCTTCCCCCCCACACACACACACCCGGAAAGGAGCTACACTGCTGCACCAGTCCAGACATTTCTCTGTGGCTGCCTCAGGTCTGTACACAAAGTTCTGCAGTGAACAAGGGCCCACAGAATGACTGGGCAGGCAGCCCAGACTATGTGAATATGCCACGAGGGAGGCAAAGGCAGAAACCACGGTGCCTAGAGCGTCTCAGGCTGCTAGCTCCATGTACAGAAGCATCAGGGCACAGAACCCTTCCGTGTCCAGAACAGAAGTAGAGCGCTGGACAGACCGTCCAGTAGACGGTCTTTTGTGATAGATGGGCCACCAAAGCCTAGAGTGGAGGCTCTCAGCCCAGCATCACACAGCAAGGCCCTTTGTGGTCTGCCCCCTGCCTGTCCTCATTCCTTGACTACCCGGCCCCCAGCCAGCATGGTGGACCTGCCTTCAGATGTTTGGATGGGCTGCTTGGGTCCTGCCTCAGGACCTTTGCACTTACTGTTCTCTCTGTGTGTAATGGTCTGCCCTCAGATCGTCCTAGGACTGCCTGCTTCTTGTCAATCAGATCTGTGCTCAAATGTCCCCTCCGAGAGGCTTTCTCTGACCACCCTAATGAAGTATCACCCACCCAGTTGCCATCAATTCAGCTCCAACTCATGGTGACCCCATGTGTGTAAGTCAAGTGCTGTGCTCTGTAGAATTTTCAAAGACGATGGAAGTAGGTCGATCGCCAGGTGCTTCTGAGGTGCCTCTGGGTAGACTTGAACCTGCAGACTTTCAGTAAGCAGCCGAGCGTGTTACCTGTTCGTACCACCCAAGGACAGCTGAAGTAGCTTCCACAGCCCCATTCCTAACCCAGTTGATTCTCCTTGTAGCCAGTATGAAATCCCAAACACTATTTATTTATTTATTCATTCATTCATTTACCTATTTATCAGCTGTTGGCCCCTGGCATGTCTTGTTCTCGGCTCTAGCCCCAGCACCTAGGACAG